TACCTACTTTATTTTGCTGAATAAAGTAGGAATAGTATACTGACAGCGCGATCAATGCCGCCTCTCCTTCATCGGGGCCGCCGCTTCGTCCGTCGGGGGTGTTGGCGACGGCGAAATTACATGCACGATGTAATTGCCGAAAACGCGGCGAGACCGCGAGACCGCGGGTTAATTCGAAACGATCGCGGCCCGTCGAGCTTCACCGCGCTCGGTCGCGCGTCCTCACCGCCGTGGAGAAGCGGCCAGCACGCGCCTGTCTCATGACGCGAGCGCGAAAATAACGTCGCGATTACGGAGTCGAAAAACGCGGCAAACCAAGGTTGCGCGTGGCGTAACGAAAAATCGATAGCCGCTAGACGCGGACGGGCCAATCGACGAGGGATAGAGCAAACGCGGGGCGGAGAGGCGGCAGAAAGAGAGCAAAAATGTACAACGCCTCCCGCCGGCCGCGTTATTGCCGCTCTTGTTAATAATAAATTCGCGGCGAGCACGAGGATCATCCCCGTGATGAAAGTTTGACGGGAAGGTGAAGCCGCGCGAAATTAACGACGTTTTGACAAATGAAATAGAATACGAGATGCCTATATAGTTAACGCCGCGCGGGAATTCAAAGCGACCCGACCGGTGGCGAAAAACGGCGCGAAATATTTATAAAGGAAACGCCGCCCTCTAATTCGTCGTCGCGCAAGGCGGACAGCGACGTGCAACGTGTGTCGAAACAGAGAGACGGGCCGCGATTATCCCTCCCGCGCGCGCGCGCGCGCGCGCGACTCCCGCATCGACTTTTATCGCGCGGCTGCGATTGCACCGTCGGGGTAGCGCGATAATGCGCGATGCCCTAAATCAAACTGCACGCGCGGGCAGTAGGACTGGGCTTCATCGCGCACGAAATTCCACGGAGCGGATCGTTTCTTATCGTTTCAGCCCGCTAATTGCGGGCCTTATCGTTGCGCAAACAAGCCGATTCCCCCGTATGCAGGCGTATACGAATGGCAGAGGCGCAGCGTAACCAAATAGATCCCGGGGCTTTCCGGTCGAACGACTCCTTTCATCGATCCGTCGGCGAAGCAAGCGGGACTCGGTCGACACGCGATGACGCGCGCGGGGCAAACGAAATCGTGCATCGTGCGCGACTTCAAGACGGCTCGGGTTAATTGATCGTGTGTGCCGGGCCGCTGCGCGGAGAGGAGAGAAGCCCTCTCGGAACGCAGCGCGCTCTCGGGCCGACGATTTTTACGCCCGGGTGGATTTGCGCTCGCCGCCGCCGCCGTCGCGCGACAATGTGCGACGCCGGGGGGAAAGTTTCCGCGTAAGCCGCCGGTTCTTGATAAATGCAGGGCGGTTGTCGAGAGGTACAGTGCTATTCACTGATGCCTGGACCTGCATTTTCATCATCGTTCCTCCCATCTATACAAACCACTGAGTTTCAGGCTGTGTGTACACGCACCGGCATAAATGCTGTCCCTATCCTTGTGAGGTGCACTACAGGGACTCTAGTTGTGCACCTTACAAGGATAGGGACAGCATTTATACCGGTGCGTGTACGTACTACCGCATACTTCCGTAGGAGTCTGTGTGTACTACAGCCTGAAACTCATCGATGTATAGATGGGAATAAGGATTATGAAAATGGGAATCCTAGTAGAACCGTAGTATAACTAGTAGGCCCACTCTCTGTCGACCCCTCTCATCCTTGCGGCCCCGATCCACAGATTTCTACATAGAGAAAAGTCCCCTATTACGAGATAGGCTTCTAATATGAGATAGTAGGTTTCCGCGTCCAAAATTCAATCACAAATCTTTTTCGCGGCGATTACACGATCTAACAACGAAGCTGAACAGATTTTACTTCAAGGGCAATAATTTCATGGTGGGACCTTATCTCATAATAGGGAACTTTCCTCAACTACCAGACTGCTACCTTCGAGCTGAAAAGTGAGGCAAGAGTTGCGCCATGTCTTGTTAGGTAAATAAAATAGTATATGTGCATCGGTCTGTCATAACGCGATCTAACAATCAATTTTCCACCAAACAGATTTCACCCCATGGGCAATAAATTCATGGCGAAACAAACGGATGACGCCTATTAATTCAGCAGACACCCCGCTACCTCATATTAGAAGCTTATCTCATAATAGGAGACTTTCCTCAATTACCAGACTGCTACCTTCGAACTGATGTGTCGGATGCGCAGAAGGGATCGACGCAAAACCAAACAAATGACGGAGTGGACGTGCCAGTTAGGCTGACGGCAGAGAACAATCCGTAGAGCGCCTAAGACTGTCTTAAGTCGTGGCTGAAAATCATGAAAGTCTCTTGTACACGACTTAAGTTTTTTCTCCGCCTTGCCTCACGTCCACGACTAAGACAGTCTCGAGCGTTTACGGATCGTTCTCTGCCATCAGCCTTATACCATAATAAAACCGAGGTACAGGCATTAATGAATAGCACTGTACGTGCGGGGCGGAAGATAAGCGCGAGAGTTAAGTAGCGCGCGCGCGTCTCTCTATCGTTTCGCAAACAGCGCGGAGCCGCCTCGCGAGGATCATTTGTCAAGGCAGAAGCCACTCGACGTCCCGATAATTTTTTATTATGCAAATAGGCCGCAATAAATCCTTATCTAACCGCATTTCCCGGCCGCGCGTCACACGAATTACCGCCGTACGTGTCGCGCGATTAGCGATTCGCCGCGACGGCGGCGGCGAGGTAATTATTTATTTACGGAGACGGAGGAAAGCGGGATCTTGGGTTCGTGATAATGCGGCGGTGATGATCGACGTACGCATCCGCCGGCGCCGTCGCTGGCGCCGGCACCGGCGCGCACACGCCGAAATCCGGCGAGCCGGCCGCGCGAATCCGCGCGGCGGCATCGAGCGATATCGGTTGCGCAAGGTCAAGGCCTCGGAGACCCCCGGCGACGCGACGCGACGCGTCTCTCCGGTCTAAGATCGGCGTCAGTCAGGGCTTCGCGCGGCTGTCGCCGAGACGCCAAGACGCCGGCATCGCGACGGCGCTCTCCCCGCCCCCTCTTTTCCCTCCCCGTGAAAGTGGAGCGTTTCCGTCGGGCGTCGGAACGAGCGGGTAAGCCGCGAGTACTCCGGAGAACCGTGTCGCGTCGCCGCCAACCGCGAGTCTAACACGAGCACCTTTCCTCGCGGGCGACGACGGCGCGCCGCGAGAGCCCTCGGGGCGGCAGCGCGGGACCCGCAAAGCCCGACCGCAAACGCGTCGCCGTGTAACAATCTCGTCGAGCGAGCGTATTTCTGGCGAGCGGAGGAGAGAGAGAGAGAGAGAAAACGGCTCCGGAGCGAGACGTGTGCACCCGACGCCGCTGCTGGTCGCCGCGATCGCGGAGGGTTGCTATATCGAGGGACGTCGCGACGCCTGCGCGGGTTTCATCGACGATCAGCTGGCTTAAAGCTCCCGCCTGGTGGGAGCGAGCGGACGAATATAGACGAGAGGAGAGAGCAAGACGGACGCGGCCGGTCTAACGTTACAGCCGTCCCATTAGCCATCGTCGCCGACGACGACGAGGGCAGTGCCGACGGCGCCCACGCGCGTTTCTGGCCAGGCGCCTCCCCGTTGCACGGCGCGATCGGCGTCGACGACGACGACGGTGACGGTAGTGCGCGTCAGAGGGTACGCGGCCAGTGCCGTGCAGTGCTGCCGTTCCGTCGCTCGTCCCGTCGGTCGATAGAGGCACGCCGGCCAAGGTGCGACGCACGTCCACTCGGATGAGTCGTCGTCCGCCCGTGCTTTACAATGCGGCGCGCCCGTTATCGTCGCCGCGCTTCCTGTCCCTCCACCACGGCGTCGTCGTCGTCCACGGGCCGCCGCGGCCGCGCGTCCGCCAGACCTCCTCGCGCTCACCGCCGCCCGACTCCGTGAAGACCCGAGAGCGTCGCGTCGCGGTATTCGCGAGCGGCGCGTAAGACGAGCAACACGCGCGCGCCCGTCCCCGGTCCTCGCCGCGCGCGCATCAGCAACGCCAGCCGAGTTCGCGCGGAAGCCGGAAGTGGCTTCCCTCGCGCGACCGCGTCCAACGTGCGAGAGCAGTCACGATTCGCGACCCCCGAACCGCCGCCTGTACTTTCTGCGCCCGGGGGACGCCGCGAGCGCAGCTGGGGTCACACCGCGAGCACCGAGTGCGAGCAAGGCGCACGGCGGTGACACTCACGACGTCTTTCCTCGACGCGATCTCTCGAGGGACGTGGACCGCCAGCGCGGCAGCTGTAGCGCGCGACGTCTCGGCGCCGAAGGCGGTATGAGTCACGCTTAATCATTGGGTTTGACGTTTTAGCGATTTATGGCCGCGACACTTGTTATCCTTCATTTCGGATCGCAGTAATAGCGATACCGCTTGGAACCGGATTCGCGCGTCCAGTCCACGCGCCGAGCCGGCCGGACCCCGTCCGCGCGGCGAGACAGTTCGACTTCGGTTTCCGCAACGACGTTACATCCGCGCCGTGTGTCGCTACGAGGAGGACGAGCAACGAAGCCTCGTAAAACGCTCGAGCGCGCGGAGAGGGAGGTCCAGGAAAGTTACTCGTCGCTGAGAAAAAAACATCTTCGGGCGCGCGCCGACCGCGAAGACGCGGGTTTTTCCCAACGGAGGAAGTCTACCGAAATCGTTATACCGCCGTGTGGTGTGCTGCATAGCGTGACCCAGGGGGGGACGACCACGTTATCGCGGGGGACGCGAGGGGTAAGCCGCGCGCGCGCGCGCGTGTGTGTACGTGTGTGACTGCACCCGGAGGGTAGCAGCTCGTCGAGCAAACCCGCCCCTGTCGCTGCTGCACGGGGATCAGGGGAGTCAATCGCGGGGCGACCCGCGGCACGTGCGAGCGTGCTCGTTACCGCGGTGGTTCCCTTCTGATGGTACAACGAGTGGAAGCAGTGACTCACCGGCGACGGACGAGCGCGGACGACGGCGCGGATCGTCCACGGCAGAAGCACCGTCGTCGTCGTCGTCGTCGCGGCCGCGCCGTCTCGCCCCGACGATGATTCCCGCGCACCCCCTCCTCCTCCTCCTCGCCGCCGTCCTGTGCTGTCCGGGATGCGGCCGCGCCGGCCTCGCGCCTCTCAACGAGCTCGGCTCCGCGGAGCGGGCCCCGGCGGAGAAGAACCCCGCGTCGCACGGGCCGCAGATCGACACCGGCGACCTCCCCGGCGACCCCTACGGCGCGTACCCGGGCTTGGGCTTCGGGCCCATGGGCCCGGTCCGCTCGGGCATGCTGAACGACGCCACCCTGCGCAGCCTCTCGTCGGCCAGCGGCGGCGACGACGCCGAGCAGCGTCTCCCTAAGGAGTCGCAGCAGCTCGCCTCGGCGCGCTCCGCCGACGAGTCCTCCTCGAGCGGCAGCCAGCAACTCTCGCCGAAGCCCGAGTACCACATCGTCAGCGTCGAGTTCACGCGCGTCGAGACGCCCTTCCTCATCGGGATCTGGATCTTCTTCGCCAGCATCGCGAAGATCGGTGAGTCTCGAATTCCAAACTTTGTCTCTTTCTTTCTCTCTTTCTTCCCCTTTACTCCTCCTGCCCGAGATTCGTGGGTAGGCGTGAGAGGGTGGCGTCTCTGGAGCGTATCGCTTCGTGTAAACAGCAGACTTTTCAGCGTTTAACAACGAACTCGCTGTGGGAAGCGACGGACGTTTGCGATAAACATTTGCAGTAAATCGAGTATGCTCTTGAATGAAACGATGCTCGTCCGAGAAGCTGATATCTCGTGGTGCATTTTCTTCCGAGATGTCTGCGTCGATGGTGTACGCGGACGAATATTTGCCGGTGTACTTAATGCAAGTCTCAGAGTCGTAGTCGTAAGAATAGTCGACTATGATCGATTAATTCTTGTGCGTCTGACTGAACTGACTGAATTACAGTCGATTATTCTCACGACCGCGACTCTGAGACTCGCATTGCAGACCCCGCATGAGAGTCGTTCTTTGTAAAGGCCTGCGTCCACGATCCAAGAACTGTGTCCGAGTTCTAGTTCCGAGAAATGTGCAGCCAATCGACTCGCGTCTTTTACGGAAAAGCTGCGAGTTGATTGGCCACGCATTTCTCGAAACTAGAACTCGGACCGCGGACGCAGGCCTTAAGGCCCGGTTTCACCAAACGCCGCTTAACTTTAATCGAAGGGGGAAACCGCTCAGGGGTATTGTGGTGTACAAATTTGCTACATTACTGGGCATTACTAGGCATTTTTTGGGCATTACTTTGGGCATTAGGCCTTGCTGGGGCATTACAAAGATAAAATAAGATAAATAAGATAAAATGAGATAATATAAAGTAGTGCTTACTGAGCATTAGTGGGCATTGTGGTGTACAAATTTGCGCGGCATTGCTGGGCATTAATTTGGGCATTAGGCCTTGCTGAGGCATTATAAAGATAAAATAAAATACGATAATAATATAAAGTAATGCCCACTGGGCATTAGTGGGCATTGTAGTATACAGATTTGCGGCATTGCTGCACTG